AGAGCTTCCCTCCCGGCGGCTCGAAGCTTTGGCTGAGCCCCTCGTGCCAGGGCCGCCCGGGGAGCTCTGGGGAGTGGTTCAGAGGCAGGAGCCTGCAGCGGTTCGTACAGCTCACATCCCTCCTCACCACAACTAAAAGCCACATATGCTTGGGAACGAATAAATATTCACGTTTAACCGTCTGCCTGTATGAGACGTGGACCTGCGTTTCAGTGCGGATTTGGACCCATTGCCAGCACTGTGGACCCCGCTGGTCTTGTTGTCATGTCTTTGACGTGACTCACCGAGGTACAGAGGCAGCTTCAACCCACTGGAGCTTAGTACCCAACACCGGGCAGCAGCCTCAATGCAACAGTGCACCCATTGATACCAGAATACTTTGCAGGGTTGAAAAGTATCCCAAATGCACAAGTCTTTCTGAGCATGGATGCACTAACCTAACGTGGATGTCCGACCTAGCATGTAGTCGTAACAGGAGGGCATTCTGAGGAGTGTGAGGAGCACAGAGGTAGATCTAAGGTATGATGGTACCCAAAATAATCTCTGGTTAAGTAAAATATGTGTGTCCTTAAGTACTTTGCCCCTCCAACTCGCGGTTGCGTTAGTGCTTTAAGGCGCTCTCAGCGTCCCCTGTCAGAAGCTCCAAACGCTCTGATCTGGCCTTAAACATTATTTCACCATGCAAACCTTTTGGCCTTTTTTCCGTCTTGTTATCTGATCTATCTGGTCACTTTTTATCAACTTAATTTCTTAATGAGTGCATAAAACTTATGCAGAGCAATGCATAAAAGTTATCAATGCATAAAATGTTATGGCAGAGTCCTTAGGATAATTTATGGCATTTATAAAATTGAAGATTCAGGCTTCTCTTGCTGGCCAGGCAAGGCTCATGCCCGTGGGGGGAAGATGGCCAGGACTCCCTGTATGCTTTGACTGCCTTTGCCTGGTGCTCCAGGCAGCAGCAAGTGTCTCTGTGTGTCATAGAAACTGTGCTCAGCTCCTCTGCCACCACCTAGTGCACTTGCCTCGTGGCCTGCAGCACAGCTGATGCCATGCAAAAGTGAGAAGGTGCTGGAGTCTTCCCGAAAGGGACATGGGAATCGAGCTGCAGAGGGGACCTGGGTGTGAACAGGGACATTTACAGAGTGGTGGCCGCCCACGGTGTGTTTTAGTCCCTTTACTGGTCCCTGCACATGTGAAGCGTGCTGAGGGTGATGGAACAGGGGACTTCTGAGGGCCTCCGTTTTTTGGCGTGTGCAGCATTTGACAGTTTTTGCAGCCATTGCACTGAACCAATGTCCATTGAGGGGGCTAATTGCATCTCCCTGCTTGATTTGCAAGGCATAAAATGCCGTGATGTGGTGACCTTTGGGATGGGCAGCTGCAAGTTGATCTTCAGCTCAACCCACAGCCGCGGCCAGGCCAGCTTGACGGAGACCCAGTGAAACTCAGCAGTCCCAGGGGATGAACCATGCTCCCCACTGCTGAGCTGCAGGGATTTGGGGCTGGACTGCGATAAGCAAAGAGGCTTTGTCCCCTGCGTGCTTGCCTTGCTCCCCTGGGATGGTACGGAGGCAGCCGTGCCGTGCTTTACCAAGGTTTCAGCCTGGGGGGTATGAGGAGTCAGAAAGCAGGTAGGGCAGGAACACTGCAGGTTTTGAATGAACCCCATCATGGGGGAAGGAGAGGCAGAGCTGGCAGGAGAAGGGGCACCCCAGCATCACCTGAAGGCTTCCCAATTAAGCAGCATTACTATCCCCATTAAGCAGCAGTCATTGCTGGTAAGTATCTTTGGACTTAAATCTTAATTCCATGGGAGATGTCCCAATTAAGTGGATCTTGTGATTAAACACTTCCTGATTAAGTGGAGTGTACTTAACTCATTCAAATTAATAACTCATCTGAAAGAAATCAAGTTACACACAGATGGAATCTCTTTTTGCTCTCATTTGGGGATTGAGCGCACGTAACAATTCCAGTTAAGTATCTGGTAAGTGATATTTTTCCTAATGTGTCTCTCGAAGTGGAAATGTTTTAGGCAATTGTTTGTTGTTTTTTTTTCCTAATGTCTTAAATCGTCCTGTGTATCAAGAATGAAATATTGATGCTCATATCTAACATTAAGGAACCAGCAGTTTGATATTACATTGACATGCAACAGAAAGTACTGATAGGCTCAGCACTGCATACGAGATGAGGGAGGGAATTAATGCATTGGCAGTTGTCTTTGCTGGAACTGGTTAGAAGCCAACTAAAATCTGCCTAAAAGGGTTCGACAACATTAAATTGCCCAACTTGGCACCAAAGCTTTCCCAGAAGATGTGTAGTATCAATGACATGCCTAATATTTATAGTGCCATCAGTATGTGTGTTTGCAACTTTAAGTTTTGTGCTATATTTTTTTCTCATTTATATAACAAAAATTTTAGTGAAGTTTTGTTACACATCTAAATTTTTGCTACTTGAAGTGAACCTAAAGAAAGGTCCGGCGAGAGGCACAGCACTGTGATTTGCAGGTTGCAGTGATCAGACCAAAGATCATTTTTCTGAACAGATTGAAAAATGTCCTCTTTTTAGCAAAATCTGTTGTGCTGGAGGACTATGTGCCGTATTGCCTAATCTGCATTCCCTTGGGGTTAAAACATACATGTAAATGTAAAAAAAATTACAAAATCGTATGGATCTTATTCTGATCTCTGACAGCGTGAAGCCGGAATGATTATGTTGGTGGTTTTGTAAGCACGGTAAGAGGTATGTGAGGGAAAGGAGTACAGTATATTTCACGTCTGCTGCTCAAAGCATGTTTCTCTCTGAAGAAAACCAGTTCGTGAGGAGTTTGGGAGAGAGAGGGGCTGTGCATGGGGGAAATAAGTAAACTGTCTGCAGTCCTGTACTGGAATATGTTTGATTTTATTACGTTGCCAGAGCTTAAGCGAGCTGCATCGCTCAGTGTTTCTGAACTGCTGTGGTGTTTATTGATGATTACAGTAAAAAAATAAAGCCGATATTTAAATCCTGCCTGATTAGTGAAAACAGAAATGTTTGGGGGAAAGTCTGAATTAGTTCCACTTCGTAACAGAGCAAATAGCAGATTTCAGCCTTCGCTTAAAACAAAAGGTAAATCTCATACCCAGAATCCAGTGTGTCTCAAAAAAATGATTTCCTTGGAAGTATAAATTGGGATGCCGATGAAGTTTCAGAACAAAACGGGTATTTTTATACTTTGTTCATTTCATATTTATCACTAGCTTGTTTGCTAATTTTCATTTGCAAGAGGCAATTCTTCCAGCTAACTGGCTGCCTCAATGGGCCACTGATTTCTTTGAAGTGACAGTCTGTAAATATGCATAAAAAAGAGATGCAATTAGCGTGTGTGTGGTTCAGTGCAGCCTGATTTCATTGGCAAGTTTACCCACAGTGTTGATAAGCTACATTATCTAGAAAATTGGCCGCTGAAAAACAGCACCTCTGATTGCCAGCAAAGGTTCCAGATAACAGGGTGCTGAAGAGAAATATAATTGAGGTTGAATATGTTAACCAAGGTGTCACATGCTCCTTAGAAGCGCTAATTTATCAGCATGTTGGAATTTTTATTAACATTTGGAATGCATTTCTACCACACTAATGAAGTGGAATTGGCAGTTCAGGTTTTAGTTATTGTCATTTCTGAGAAGTTAAATGTAATTTCTCGTTAGACACAGTTATGTAAATATATTTGTTCAGGGGCTGAAAAAATTATACATTTTGCAAAATACAAATATGTTGTTAAGGAGGAGTATGACAAATCAGTCGCAGTTAAAGTCATAAAAGCCAGCCAAAGGTTCGCCCTGCATTGTGCTTTCTGGAACATCACTCATTTTTAGGGCACCTGGAGAAAATGAACTTAGCAGAGTTTTAATAAATGGTGTAGTCACTCATTAATGTAAAAGAGGCAAGACAGGTAAATGCGGTGTGATTTGTCGGGGTATTGGTTTAAGTGGAATCGCACTGTGTGTGCTGGGCTTACCTTTGCCTCTCCTTTTTTTTTTGTGCGGAAAGGGTCTGGTGCCCAGAAGGGCACTGGCCTTTATTTCCCCTGTTTTTTGACACACGGGAAGTCGGGCTGTTTTCAGTTCCTGGGCTGTACACAAACACGCTGTGTGACACTTTGCTGCGAAGTGATGAGAAATCGGTAGCAGGACGACAGTTCCCAGGATGCCCAACACACCCAGTTCAAGGCGCTTTCGGTTCCAATGCCATGCTTGTTTTCTATTAAAAAAATTAAACTGGTGATTACAAGTAACCTAAAAGTAAGGGAGTACTGCTGTTAGCTCAGGAGGTAGTATGTGTGCACCTCTAAACCTGCCTGTCGGCAGCGAAAGGCAATAAGAAAGAAGTGCTACCGAGGTGAGCGTCACGACTTCCAGCAGGGGCAGAGCAGGCCTGACTCGAGCATCTCCTTTGTGCTATTCCGTGGTTTTCCTTCTGCATTAACGTCTTGAAAACCTCCAAGTGCTGCCTTTCCTTCTGGGGAGAACCCCATGCTAACCTCGTGGTGTATGGGCTCGTTGCAGGGGCATCGTCGACACGCCGCTCATCCGCTCCAAGGACCTGCGGCCGCTGGTGCGGCGCTGGCTGGCGGACATCCCCGCCGGGAGGCTGGCTCAGGCGACCGACCTGCAGGCTGCCGTCGTCTATTTGGCCTCCGAAGCCTCAGATTACATGACGGGACATAACCTGGTCATCGAGGGCGGCCAGAGCCTGTGGTGAGGGGTGTCCTCCAGCCTCCCCTCTCAGGGGCATGGGTCACTTTGGAAAGTGTGTATTAGAGTTTAGCTTAGTCCTGGTTTTGGTCTGCCCAGCTAAGTGGCCAGCTAATATGAAATTATTGTTTTCTTCTTTAGGGTGTTGCTTTGGAGACTCGTACAATTAAAAAAAAAAAAAAAAGAGGTAATCTTTCATTTTCAACATTTTCATGTTTTTCACTATGCATTCAGATTTCTGTTAAATTAGTATTTAATTATATACAGGCACATTTACTGCAGTGAGATTTGGCTATTATTTAGTTTAACAGGGGGCATTTTTGAAGCAATCAATATTAGCTGGTCTGTGTAGTATATTGTTCTTAGCTGATTTTTTATATTCAAGTTGTTCAAGTGACATCTGTGAGTGGTAAAAAACAGTTGGATCTAGTGTTAAAAAAAATAAATTAGTTCATTGCATTTGAACCTGAATGTTGCCATTTTATATTTACTGGTGTTCTTAGTTTTTGACAATGTTTTTATATAAACACCCACATACATGCCCCTGAAAGAAAAGTACTGCACAATAGAGAATCATGGTTGGTAATTATAATGGCTCTGATCCAAAGCCCATTGAGGTAAGTGGGGACTGCTCGTATGCATTAAGTTAAATGCATGTATAAGTGTTGATACAACTGGGTCTTTGTTTTACTTCGTAGGCCAATGTAAGAAAAGGTCGTCTTCCAAATCTTTTTTTTTTTCCTCCTGTAAAATTCTGAAGACAACTCTGGAGTGTAAATAAGGGCCGCCTCAAATGATGCCAATACAGTTCTGGTGGCTGAAGAGCTCATTTCAGGAATAGCGCTGGGTTCATTGCTTATAGGCAGTAAAACGTGGCACAATAACACCACCGTTTTGATAACGCTCTGAATTTATACAGACTTCCATCCTGAGGGCCTTTAAGCATAACCTAAGGAGAATTTACGGGAAGGAATTCACTTGCAAATCCTCATGTCATTTGTTTTGCATTTGGCAGCTCTTTGTTACCATAACATAAATAATTGTGGATGAATGTCATTACTTTGATTAAGTGCTACAAGTCCATACATTGGCTAGCCATTATTGTGGTGAATTGCTATAATGGCTTCAGACTTGACATTCACCGCCACATTGTAAGGTATGCATCTTGCTGACGTACTATCATCGTTATCGTGGATAAAGTGCAAGAAGATACTTGTCTTCATTAAATTTTCTATTAGACCATTGATAATTAATACATATCTCATGTTTCATCTCGAGTCGTTTTTCTGGGGAGTGTTGCTGTTAAGCGACGCAGGGCTAGAGCTTTTTTGGCTTGAAATCCCTGCCTTGTGTGCATGATCTAATTTATTGACAATGCTCTGCAAACTCACAGGCTTAAGGAGAGCTCAATTTTGGATAAATCTTCAAGAAAAACAATTAAGGATTTAAACGTTTTATTATTTTTCTGGGCTCACAAAACCTTTTCTCTCCTAGCTCCCACACTTGCATCATTTTGTGTCATGCTCTGGAGGGCTCAGTGGAGTTCTCACATCCCTCTGGCTGGCTTTTCACCCAGAGGTTAATGTGCAAACATTGGCGAACTCATCAGGAGCTCTTCCAAGGGATCCTAGAGGGGCTTGTATACTATCACTTGGACTGCTGGTGAACGGTTTGTTGCAGCTCCTACCTAAAGTGTAAAATAACAAACTTTAGCTAATTTGAAACATGAACTGCAGTTGGCACTGGGACTGCAACCAACGTTCTCACTCTCTCACTACAAAGACAAAGGGCTGAACAGGCTGCTGAGGCTGAACTCCCTTTCCCTGGCTGGAGATGTTTGCAGGTTAGCCGAAAAGGCACTGGCAGGGCATTGCAGGAAGCTGAAGTTCATTGCCCTGGTGCTGGGTGTTTTTTGGGAAGATTTTCAGCCAGTAAGGGTCATGCTATGACTTTCACAAGCTTCAAATTAACTTTAAAAAGAAAACCCAGACAAAAAAAAACTAACCCAGACTTCAAAAAAAAAAAAAAAAAAATCAGAATGATCTCTTAACTAAGCAGCCTCCAGTATTTGGACTAGGCCTTGTCTCCCTCCAATCTGTCTGCCCCCAGGCTCTGCCTTTGAAGGGCTGAGCGGGCAGAGCAGAGAGGAACGAGTCTACTTGCGCGCGGGCTGATGTGGGGCTTGGACCCTGTTTGGAGACGTGGCCATGTGCCCATGTGGCTCCCGGCTCTGCTTCTCGTTGGCCCAGAAAGGCTGGTGGAAAAGGCCGTCTCTCACTCTGTCATACAGGAGGGGCTCGAGGCTAAGCAGCCCAAGGGAGTTTGGCACTCGGTGCCAAGACCCTGGGGTGTTGGGCGAACGCCCTCGTCGCACTTTTGGTTGGCATGGCATCTTCATTTTGGCCAAAGAAAGGAATGCTGGAGGAGAGCGGGTGTCAGGAGGGACATGGCACATGTGTGAGCTGGCCTGTGTCCTCCTAAGGACAGACTTTCACCTCTCTCCTCCACCCAGGGCTTCATGGTGGCTCTTCATGGCCTGCCCTGTAATTTCCCAGGGGAAAAGGCTGATTTCCACTCAAAGGCAGGGCTGACCGTGCAGTGGTGCTTCTGTGCGATAGGACCAAAGTGAGTGGCTGGGTTGGGAGCTGTGCCTCGCTGTGCGGCGGCTGCTCCCCAGGCCTGGCGCTCGCCGCCGGGTGCAGGATCGCACCCAGCCTTGTGCGGAGCGGCGGGTGCATTGCTGCGGTCGTGGGGTCTCTTGTGGCGACTCAGCCCTAAAGCAAGTGGAAGAGGTGATTTCCCCTTATAAGGGGAAAGCAAAGCTCAAGGGGGAAGCCAGAAAAGCCTTTTTCCCCTCCTAGCGCAGAAGACCAGAGGGGGGAAAAAAAAAACCCAACCAAAAAAACCAAGAAGGAAAAAAGGAAATATTGGGGGGGGTGGGAAAAAAAAAGCGCCTTTCTGGAGAATGCGGGTGAAGCGGTGAGATGGCAGCATCTGTGTTTAGTGAGGTTGTTCAGGGCAGCATCGGGCGCTCAGCGCCGCGCTGGTTGCGCGGTGCGGTGCGGAGCGGTGCGGTGCGGTGCGGAGCGGTGCGGGGCAGGGGCGGGGGGGCGCGGGGGGGGGGGC